CAACGTCCTCCACAACTAGACTGAAGAACAAAACGACAGCAACTTGTCTGTTCCCCTTCCCCCAATTCCCCAATAAAAATCTTTATACAAATGTATATATATATATATATATATATATATATATGTATATATATGTATGTATATATATGTATATATGTATAACTATATGTGTATATATGTGTATATATATATGTATATATATATATATATAATGATAATCTGATGAAAGATTCTACCACCAAATTTAAAAGACTTGCAGTGGAGTGGGTGAAAAAATTTACAGCATTAGACCCACAGGTTAATTATGCTGTTACACACCCCAATCCTACAAACACCAGCTTCACACACACATCCCAAATATCTCCATAAGTGCTTCCCCATCACATACCCGGCACAATAAACCCATCCTCAATCTCTCTCAGTTACTCTCTCTTAATATCTTGCTCAAAACTTCACAACTTTGTTCAACACTGCTCTCTCTCTCTCTCTCTCTCTCTCTCTCTCTCTCTCTCTCTCAGCTGCAGTTTCATTGAGAGAAAACTTCAAGGTGGGATGAATAGGAGGTATGTATGGAGGAAAGAAGGCAGTTGTATGATATAGTTGGGGATATTTACGGATAGATGACAGTGGTGATTGAGGATGGCTTGGGGTGAGGTTCGGGTCTACTACAGGACAGTTTGCATGCAACTAAATGATCATGTGAAGGTCTTCAGGAGTAATGGGGCTGCTAGAGGACAGTTTAAGAGTGCAGATGGGAGTTATTGAAGGGTAAATTGGGAACAGAGTTGGGGGTTGGAAGACGGTTTGGGGTGCAGTTGGAGGGACTACGGGGGATAGTGAGCATTTAGAGACAGAGTTTGGTCTTCTGTAAGGTAATTTAAGGAGTAGAGCTGTTAACTGTCATAGGATGGTGTGGTAGGCTGACTAATGACCCCCCAAAAGATGTCCATGTCCAAATCTCTGGAACCTGTGAATGTTACCTTATATCAAAGAAAGGTGTGATTGAATTAAAGATTTTGAGATGGGGCGATTATCCTGGATTATCTGAATAGAACCTAAGTGCAATCACAAGTTACTTTATAAGAAGAAGGCAGAGGCAGATATGCCAGAAAAAAAAGAGGGGGTGGCTGGGTGGCTCAGTTGGTTAGAGCTCGAGCTCTGAGCAACAGGGTTGCTGGTTCGATTCCCACATGGGCCAGGGAGCTGTGCCCTCTGCAACTAGATTGAATGACTTAAGCTGAGCTGCCGGTGGGCGGCCAGATGGCTCAGTTGGTTAGAATGTGTGCTCTTAACAACAAGGTTGCCGGTTTGACTCCCACATGGGATGGTGGGCTGTGCCCTCCTCAAGTAGATTTGAAAATGGCGACTGGACTTGGAGCTGAGCTGCGCCCTCCACAACTAAGAGACAACAACTTGACTTGGAGCTGATGGGCCCTGGGAAAAACAAACTGTTCCCCAATAAAGTTAAAAAAAAAGAGAGAGAAGGCAACGTGGCCATAGAGACAGAGATTGTAGTGATGTGGCACAAGTCAAGGAATGCCAGCAGCTACCAGAAGTTGGAAGAGGCAAAAGATTCTCCCCTAGAGTCTCCAGGGAGATTGCTCAGAAGGAAATGAGGAACACGTTATTGGAAACTGTAGAAAAGAAGATCCTTATTATAGAGAGGCAGAAAACTTAGCTGAATTGTGCCCTACTATTTTGTGGAAAGCAGAGCTTGTAAGCTTGTAAGTGATGGACTTAGGTATTTAGCTGAGATTTCCAAAGAAAGTGTTGAAGGTACTGCCTGGTTTCTTCTTGCTGCTTATAGTAAAACGTGAAAGGAGAGAGATAAATTGAGGGAAGAACTGCCAAGCAAAATGGGCCCAGGATTTGAAGATTTAGAAATTCTTAGGCTGTCCAGATGTCAAACGACACAAAATTCAGGAGGTTCAGTGTCAGGAAAGTATGCTCTGGAGAGGAAGCCAAGAGTGTGGCTGGACAGCCTCTTGTCAGTACTAGAGAGATTAGGTGTGTGACTCATGAATCCTCTCAACCATCTCAGCAGAAGTCAGGAATACAGATGGGATTATCCACAAAAGAT